TTTATTGACACGGGTACAAATTGAAGCTACAGAAGAATCACTGTAATTTCAAAGATTAAAAAATAACGATAGTAGCTCTCCCTACACTTTCTTACAGATCGTATATCTCAAAAAAATGTTTCGTATTAGAGAAGCCCACCTACGAAATTGTCTTCATGATAGAACACGACTCGCCTAACCCCATCAACCAATTTGATCCCTTGAGCATAATAATTCTCTGCGGTTGTCTGCTCCAGATACTCTTCAAGAGTGAAATCGACCCCGAGCAGGGTTTCCGTACAGCCTTCAGGAACCGTTGGGAGGACAGGAAGTGTTGGGGGTGGGTCGAGAACCTTGTCCTTTTCTCCGACCTCTTTCTTCCATCATAAGGTAGCAGACTACTCGCCGACCAAGAACCACCTTCAGAAGGAAATAGGGACGGATTCAGTCTTAGCACGGTGTGTGGGTCCGTCACGAATAATAGGATGTCAGGGTTGAAGGTAGATTCAGGTGATACTGTTACGTCCGGATTGTCAGGTGGGCTTGCGTCCATAACATCTGGTTCGTGGCGTGGATTTTTGCGCTTTGCATGTGTTTCGTGCCGTGCATTTGTGCGCTTTACATCCGGCTCGTCACGTGGACTCGACCACGTGGCACCCATTTTATCACATGAATCTGCCTCTCCAATTTCTCGTTTTCTTGGAATTGTTGAATTTCGTCGGGATTGCACTTTTTCCTCGAAATCTACACGATTCTTTTTCACTGCGGAACTCTCGAAATCAATCGATTCCTTCTTGCTCAATGATTCCCGCCATTCCGCGCGCATAATTTGGTGATCCCTTTCTGCTATACGGATAGCCTCTAGCTGTTCCTTGGTCTTTGTCTTGGTAATATCGGGCCTCGGTATTACCGAATACATCCGGTCGAAATATGATAAGGTGGACGGTTTCGGACGTACCGCGGGGGAACGGGGGATGGGTTTGACCTTTTTCACTTCCGGTATAGGTATGTCCACGTGCCGCACGTAGTTGGGGTAAAAGTCGTAAATCGACCGTTTGACGGGGTCCGATCCATACACGGTGGAGCCAATTAGATTCAATTCCTCGATTTCTACTACATCCGAAAAAGTCTTGTCTTTGGAAAGTATGACTTCCTCCATTGTGCAGACGTCGGAATCTGTTTTCCCATCTTTCATAACTTTTTCCTTCTTACCCAAAAAATACATAGTACCCCCGCGGTTGGTCGTCAAATTATTTACAGTGTGCATCCTCCATTTGTACTTTTAATCTGGGTGAGTAACAAACCTTGGAGTGATGTCGGATGGAAAAAGTGAAAAATTCCTTTGCATTTCGACGTAGCCCGTATGGAAGGGGGCCCTGGTATTTGTGCAGGATATCGGCGTAAGCCCAACAAAATACGATCCATTGGTTGCCCTTCACTTCAGGCTGGAAAAAATTACCAAATTCAACGTTTAACGAGCATTAGAAAATGCATTAAAATGGAAATTTATGTAAAAGTTGAATTAAACTGAAAAATCCAGAATTTAACATTGCATCATATTGAGAAATATCCTAATTTTCGGCACGAAAAGTTTCAAATTTAAAATATTTAATCGGGTCCCTATTTTGAGAAATTGTGTATTTAAAATTTGTCAAACAATTTTGGAAAATTTACACACCCAAAATTTATGTACACAGCAAAATTTACTTAATTGTTGTGTAATCCTCTACTTTTTTTACTCAATCTCGTCGCAATTTTCCACAACTTTTATTTACCGTGTAAGCTTAATTAATTAATTAATTAATTAATTCCATTTTCTCCTCGAGGTAACGGAGACATCTTTTCATATGCAGCTGACCCTCGACGCTGGCCAAGAAGACTAATTTCTCAATGTGGGTAGACTCCTGCTCGTTGGAATTGTCACCACTCGGACCTTTGTTATCTTGATATTTTAAGTTAATTCGGTCAATTTGATCTTTAAATTCTCTCCAGTCTAGTTCGTGCTGCATTATGCATACTTTTGAAGCCGGGTTATGTATGTACTTTGATGGATTGGGTAGAACACCCAGCAGCTCAGACCAGAGATCTATTGCTGACTCTCCATTGTATACGTGCTACCATGGCTGTTTCCCTGCCTGTCTCTCCGCTGTTATTGTAGCAGCCAAGATTGCAGGTAATTTAACTGACTCTGCGGATGAACGAAGCCGTATAGACCCTACACTCGCGTTATTAACCCACAATGATCAGACCCACATGGTCAGTATAACCCCATATGGTTATTACACGGCACGCTTTCACCCTCGAGTCGTCACATCTCGCCAGCCAGACCATGGTATAAGCACCTATTAGTTTCAGCCCCTTTGGATGCGAAGACATACATAGATAAGTTTGCCTGCCCAATCCACTCGACAGATCCGCAATAGCTCATGACGGTGAGCCACTGGTTCACTCGTAGGGCAGCCAGCTTCTCCCAGAGCAGGTTGGTCACCCATCCTGCCCCTTGGTTGGGTCATAAGTGCTTAACTTGAGTTCGGCAACAAACCAAAGCAACCACCTCACCAACGCTGGCTAAGCCGGGTTATATTTAAGTTAAATTAATAATTTCCGAGGTATGTATTTGTGTAAAGGCATGGATTTTTTAGGATTGAGGAACATGTGTTTATGTATGTATTTATATATGAGCAGATTTACGTATGTCCGGAATCAAAGTGGGGCTGGATTAGTCCATATTTCAGTAAAGATTCAAGATAACATTCAAGTATTACAAGATGTGTAGAGGTTTGTGTATGTACAAGCCGGTTAAAATACCATGACGCAAATGTGTATCTACATAATATGTAGATATGTACACACACACACACATACATAACAAGCCTACGAATGGTGACATACATACAAATATGTATGTGCGTGCGTGCGTGCATGTAATGATGAAGACATTGGAGGACTTTCTATGCAACAAAAATATATTTGTCGGGATGCAAATGATACGACGCCGAGTAGCAGCGTGTTTACATACATAGGTATGGATCTTTGCAGGGTTCATATTTGTGTAGGGAGTTGATTAAAGTGCCAGAGTTAAGTAGTCATACCATATATATAATGCACTATTGTTTGATTTTCAATAGAAAATGTCTGCTGTTTGGGTTTAAACAACTCTCCCGTTTAAAAAGGTTCGATTTGAAATCACGTTATAATAGAAATGTCAAGAGTTTTGGCAACAAAATTTCAAAACTACGTCCAAAATGGTGGAAACAAAAAATTCGAAATCTTTAACCGTTGGCGGCTTCATCCCCGTGGCGCCGTGACCTTGCAACCTACAATGTCATTTTCGAAATCATGTGCACTTCAAAAATTAGAAACACTTCGGCGAAAGCCGCATATTTAAATTCGAGTCTGTTATTTATAAAGTTATAAAGTTATTATGAATACAGACGGACGGACAAGACATTTTTTCCATAAATGTATTTAGCTTTGCTTCACTCCTTAATAAATATGAGAGTAGGTTGTTCGACTTGATCTGATTTCGGGAGGGTTGGTTGCCTTGACGACGCGAGGGGAAGAAAGAAACATATTTCCCTGATTCCAGACCCTCTTTTTTTCTCCCCCAGTCTGAATCTCCCCTCTTCACCTACACGTCGTAACGCATCTTGACATTTTACATTCTTCTGAGTAAACATGGGTATCTTTTAAGCATCCTGACGGATCACTGTTTCTAAATTTTTGTTGTCGTTGCACGTAAATAACACAGAATTCAGACTGGATGTAATGTTTAAATGGGTAAACTTGTTTTTAAGAGTGCAAGGCAAATAAATACCTCACCTGCAAATTTTGCTTCATTTCCAGCAATACTTCTCGTCGCGTATGCATAATCAGGTGTCAAAGGTCGGGCAAATCATCACCGGTGAACATTCATCAAATAAAAGAGGAATTCTTGCAAGTGGGTGATTAATTTATATTTTTGTGTCTCAACTTTCCCGACTTCCATGTATTCAAATAAGGATAATTTATAAATAGACCTATAACTTTTCCAACCTGATTAAAAAGATATGAAGTAAGAATTCTGATTTGTGTATTCCATAAGAAAATAAAGATGAAATAGGTCAAAAATCATAAGAAAAATTACATAATTTCTCATGGAACGAAAAACTCAAAATTCTAGCCAATAAACTTTGCAAGCATACCAATTATCGATTTTTAGACGAACAAAATCTAAGCTTTCAAATAAAAACGCACAGGAAACAGGCTTCAAAATCAAAGGCTTATTTTAATATATAGAAGAAGGGAAAGTTGAGACACAAAACCCACATGCAATTAACCATTTAATCGACCGAAATTGCAAAAAAGGCAAACACCATGAGGTCCAATTGTGAATAAAAATAGTTGAAATTACGCATTACGTTTAACATGCCTCTTAAAAACAACAAATGCATTTTGTAAATATGCATCAAATTGTTTGTAAGATTTCAAACCAAATATTCAAAAAGGTGCACAGCATGCAGTATTTTTAATGAGGCATGTTATTTTTGTCAGAACTGCATTGAAATTCCAAACGTTAAAATTTTGATAAAAGGTCAAAATTAGGAAAAAAATCTTTTATTCTCTTTAATTCTTTTATCTGTTCTATTTTTTACATACATAGATAACGATTATCTCGATCTGTGCACATTTCCCATCTTAATTAATTTGCACATTGTGCAATTGCATTTATTTATGCATACATTTTACATGTCTACTTCTGCAAAAAAAACAGGTTTACACAACTCTTCGTTACCCTTCACAGTTGAACCTTGTTTCATCTCCAGCTCAACTTAACAAAGCAGTTATGTGATGAAGTAGATAAAAACAAGTCTCATCCTCCTCGCACGAGTCATGCCAACAAACAAACTCACGTCCACTTGACCATGCGAAATGAGAGAGTGCAAAAAACACATCAAAGTCAGCATCTAACACAATGGAGTTTTTTACGCCAAAAATTTGCTCAGTCTGCTTAAAAACAGGAATCTTTCGCGTCTCCTCTTTCAGTCAAAATTCTCCAGTTAAACGGAGAGAATTTCTTGGTTTCTGTGTAAACCTTGCAAAAATAAAAATGTTGCCTTTCCAAAAATTCAAATTTTTCTTTTCTGCAATAATATGCTTAATTCTGGTGGAAAATTATTGTCCAGTTTTTGGCCACAAGTTGGACCTTAGTGACGACGTGAGTGTCACTTGGAACTCGACCGACCCTGTCTGGTTGACCATGGAGATGACCGTGGTTGGTGGGGGGTACGTCGCGGTAGGATTTTCTCCGCAGGGCGCCATGACCGGGGCAGACATGGTGCTTGGTTGGGTCGACAAGGATGGAGTGCCACATTTGATGGTGATTTTTCGAATTTTACATTTTTACAGAAATAATTTATGCATCAATCTTTATACTCAAATTATCTGCCGTGATTTTTATTTTTTTTAATTCTGTTTATGCAAATGATTAGTATTCCAAAAGCAAGTTTTATTAACATTTTTTTCTTCAAAATCGGTTTTTATGCTAATTATTTTAGTGTTGCAAAATCAACTTTTATGCACATGCTTATTTTTCAAAATCAATTTGGATGCAAATTGTTATTATTAAAATTAAGATCTATGTATTTATTTAAATTATTAATTAAATTAGGTATCCAGGATCATTTTTCGTTTGTTTTCAAAATTTTGCATATGTAAATGCAAATCATTAGTTTTCCAAAGTCAATTTTTATGCAAATTTTTATTTTTGTAAAATACATTTATGCGAATTATTATTGTTCCAAATTTAATTTTTATGCGAACTATAAGTCTTGCAAAATCAACCTGATGCAAATTCTTTCGGTTACAATACAATTTATGCAAATTATTATACCTAGGATCTCTACGGAATTGGGAACACTCGTCCACGCCACGATGAAAGACAGGACTACGAGCTCCTCTATGGATCTGAGACTGATGGAAAGACGACAATACGATTTCGTAGAAAATGGGACACCTGCGACACAGCTCATGACATGGCTATCACTGTAAGAAAAACTAAATTTTTGCATCCTATGTAGCTTTTACGAAGTTTACGAAAGTGTCATGAGTTTTGACATTTGGAAAGAGAAGCAACATATCCCACTAACACAGAAGGATTTACAGTGGGGAGCAAATTAAATTGTACGGTACAAAAACTGTTCTATCTCGCATATTGATGAAGATAAGGGCTTGAAAATTTGCAAGGTAGTACCCCAGAAAGATTGTCGTCGGATGCCGTTCCTATTTTTGAAAAATCTCAAAAAGGTCAAAGGTCACAATTGTTGACCCAAAAGCTCATTTTTCAACTCTTACAGTGATTTTTTTCCTTGGAGGCTTTATTTTTTAATCGATGGCTCAACTCAATGTGAACATTTTGATATCTTGTTCAGTTCTCTACGATTTTTTTGAAGAAAGTTATGAATTTTTGAAAAAGGTGAATTTTGCGGATTTTACCAAATTCTCCCATAAGCGCAATGTTAAACTTTTCAAAATTCACTTTTTTCAAAAATTCATAACTTTCTTCAAAAAAATCGTAGAGAACTGAACAAGATATCAAAATGTTCACATTGAGTTGAGCTATCGATTAAAAAATAAAGCCTCCAAGGAAAAAATCACTGTAAGAGTTGAGAAATGAGCTTTTGGGTCAACAATTGTGACCTTTGACCTTTTTGAGATTTTTCAAAAACAGGAACGGCATCCAACGACAATCTTTCTGGGGTACTACCTTGCAAATTTTCAAGCCCTTATCTTCATCAATATGCGAGATAGATCAGTTTTTCTACCGTACAATTTAATTTGCTCCCCACTATATGTATCCTTGTTTGTACACGTACATAATTATGAACGTTTGGAAATTAACTTTGCAAAGTTTAGAAAATTTTACGAGTTACTAATACACGCATGCATTCTCATTTTTTGTTTAAATAGTTGTTACTAGACAAACTTGCCCAGTATTATTTGAATTATAAACAGTTTCGCCTTATTGGGCATGCTTACGACAAAGTCTTCAATATTTAGCTTCGCAAATCGTGTAGCAAGTTTGCGATAAAATATGAGGTAACGGGATTTGCAAAATAGTATGCATATCTTGCTAATGCATATGCATATCTCGCTAATCTTGCAAACTGCCCGTAAAGACACATACTTGCCTTGATGTTACTAATTTCCACGGATTTACATATGTAATTTCCCTCCCTGTTGCAGAACTAATTTTGCAAAATACTTAGAAACATTCTTCGTTGCTGGATAAAAGTTAAAAAAGAAATTCCTTTCCATCAAGTTCATTGAAATCATGCAAATTTCTAAAAACTTTGCCTGTTATGTGCTCAGGTTTCAAGATACCCCTGTTGACGTGAATACGCCGATTACCTTTTAAATTTTTTAAAATGTTCTTAATTCACAGAATGACACGATTCGTTTGATTTGGGCGATGAGTGAGGAGGATCCAGTTTACGACCTTCACCCCAACGGCACCCTGTTAAAGTTCTACCCGAAATACCACGGTGCCGAGCGGCGTGGCGTTAAACGTGTCTATTTGCGAAATTCCGCCCACCACGTCCCATTTCCGGATGCGCCTGGTGAAAACGAAGATAACAGCGTCAAATTTTTTGACATGAAAATGGACAACAACTTGATCGATCGAGAGGACGATATTTATTTCTGCAAAATTGCAAAATTTCCTACACTCGAGACTAAACATCATTTATTCGGGGTACTCCATTTATCGCTAAATACATATTTAGTAATGAAAATTTTGCTTATTTTTAAGGAAACATGCACAAAATTATTTTAATCTGCAAACTTACGTGCGATATAATTTCAATACTTTTATAAAATTTTGCAAACATTTTGGATAATTTGGCTCCAAATTTTTGTAACATTAATCGGATCAAGAGCTTCTTTTTAGTTTGTAGAGTTACTGAGTTTGCGAGTTCATAATAACTGCATGAATAGTAACAGAATGTAAATTATGGTAATTGGAACCCTTCTTGCCACCTTTAATATTTATTTAAAATTTTCCACGCGCATTTAATCGAAACTTGGTACACTTCTGATATATCGTTAACTCCAACTTTTGTGAGCCGTACAAAATTTGGGAATAATTATTTAAGCAGATTTTTGATTTTATATATGGGCGATTTGGGTTTCAGTAAGTTCACAAGGCATTAAGACATTTATTTAATTTCATTCTGTAACAATCCCAGTACCGACCTATCCTTCAACCCGGCAATGAGCGATCTATTCATCACATAATCATGTACCAGTGTGTTGTTGGACCCACGGACGAAAACATGCCGCACTCCGACGGAACTGATGCCGTTTTCCGGAAATTCGTCGACCATCCTGGTGGTCGTTGTTACACGCCAAATATGCCCCCAGAATGGGGACAATATTGCACATCTATCCCAATCCTGTGGACGGCGGGGTCAGAAGGTAACATTTTGCCAGTTTCCCAAATGTGTTAACAAATTCGCTTAATTTTATAAATTTCTGCTTATCTTAGGAAACATTTTCCCCCCAATTGCTGGAAATCCGTTGGAAGAAGGAGGCTCAGTCTACTTCATGTTTGAAATTCACTACGACAATCCATCCCTTTCCACATGTGGGTCACATTATGTCCCGTGAATTTGTAACTTTATAAAGCTTCAAACATAATATTATCGTGTTTTGAATATTGGGATTGGCAAAATTAGCTTATACTAGCCTATAAGCCCGTCTTAAAGACGGTCCACATGAAGTTTTAAATCAACACAACAAAATCATTCGATGAAAGCACCACATGACTGCGGCGATGAACTAATTATAACCAAATTATAATTTGAGAGTAAAACAACATCTAAATATATAAAAACATCGAAAAGGCTGTTCCCTTAAACTTTCCACTACATGATTGGTTGCCAGCTTCCGTAGGACTTTTCAACGTTGCCAAGGAATTTATTAAATGTTTTTAAGGAATTTTTTTTAACGTTTTTGTTTTTTAACGTTGCTAAGGAAATTTTTTTATGTAGCGAAGGGATTTTTTTGAGGTTGCTGAGGATTTTTGTTAATGTTGTTGAAGTATTTTTTATGTTGCTAGGCAATTTTTTTGCGTCGCTAAGGGAATTATTTAACGTTGCTGAGGTTTTTTTAACGTGGCCAAGGAAATTTTTTGACGTTGCTAACCATTTTTTAAATTTTCTAAGAATTTTTTTCTGGTTACCCATAACCACATAACCGAAGATATTTTTCCCCGAAATCGTGACCGAAATCATACCCATAATCATAACCAAAACCATAACCGAAATGATAACCGTAATCATAACCGAAATTATAACCGAAATCATAACCGTAATCATAACTGAAATGATAACCGTAAGCATAACCGAAATTATAACCGAAACCATAACCGAAATGATAACCGAAATGATAACCGTAATCATAACCGAAATCATAACCGTAATCATAACCGTAATCATAACCGAAATTGTAACCGAAATGATAACCGAAATGATAACTGAAATGATAACCATAATCATAACCGAAATCATAACCGAAATCATAACCGTAATCATAACCGAAATTATAACCGAAATGATAACCGAAATGATAACTGAAATGATAACCGTAATCATAACGGAAATCATAACCGAAATCATAACCGTAATCATAACCGTAATCATAACGGAAATCATAACCGAAATCATAACCGTAATCATAACCGTAATCATAACCGAAATTATAACTGAAATCATAACGGAAATCATAACGGAAATCATGACAGAAATCATAACCGAAATTATAACCGAAATCATAACCGTAATCATAACCGTAATCATAACCCAAATCATATCCGTGCTGTGATTGGCGGAGCCAGGAAGCCGGCAGCCAATCAGAATGCAGGAATGTCACGGAAAAATTGACGGGACGGACTTTTCGAAATTATAATATAGATATTATTAATCTAGATGGCTAAATTTCGTTGCAACATTTTGCCAATGTTACAACGCTATTTGGAACGGAAATTTTAAATTCTTCCATTTATGAACATGTTTAAAAAATTTACGATAACTTTCTTTGTACGTTCGCATAAAGTTTCATATCCAAATCTATTAATCCATTTCCTTTCCCATTACTTTTATAGTTAACGACAGCTCTGGTTTCCGTTTATTTTACACGTCCAACCTGCGTCAACACGACTCGGACGTTATCCTTGTCGGCGAAAAAATCTCGCCTTTCCACGTCGTCCCCCATGGCATGGAGTCCTTCACAACAGCAGCACACTGTACCGCCGAGTGCACCCAGCAGGTGAGTATTCATGCACTTTCACTTAATCGACCTATTTAAGGTTTTCAAAATTAGACTATAAACTTGCTAGTATCGTATCGTTACCCAAATTTTGTCTCCTCGGGTGAAAAATTCCACAGTAATATATTTAGCAGTGTATGTGCTGCCTCAGCCCGATTTACTAGTTTTAAAGGAATTTAATTGTCATTTAATCTTCAAACTGAACTTCCACGATGTCTGATTTGAAGTCACTTAAATTTTAAATTTGTTTTAAATCCCTTGCAGACAATCCCATCCACCGGGATTAACGTGACGACCGTCCTTCTCCACACACATCTTTCTGGGAGGAAAATTGTCCTCAAACACATCCGTAATGGTGTGGAATTGGCACCAATTGCACTGGAGAACAACTACGACTTCAACTACCAGCAAGTACGGGTAGTCGACCCTCCTAGGCTTCTTCTTCCTGGGGATGAGCTAATCACCGAGTGCGAGTACAACACCGTTGGAAAAAATAGCCCAGCATTTGTAAGAACACTAACTAATATTCAATAGCCTAAGGTTCATAACTCCAAATTTGCATGATTGTTTACTAGTCTCCAAATTAAATTCCGTTTCTATTAGTCGTTTAGAAATTTGAAAATTTTCAGGGTGGGCTCGGAACTCGAGACGAAATGTGTATGGCTTTCGTCTACTACTATCCAAGAATTCCTCTTTCCGAGTGCAAGACTCAGCTTGAATTCTACTCTTTTCTCAACCCCCTGGGAATCATAAACGTCACTGGCGACATTCTCAATGAAATGGAAATGCCATATGCACCTAGGTACTACGGTTTAACAAATAGTTAGAAATACTACGGTTATTCACAGAGGGGTTGGTAACTTTGTAATCATATGCATTTGTAAAAATATTTCTTTGAAATTCAGGTTACATGTTTTTGCAAACTTAGATAATGAACGTGTTTTTGTTTGGTAAAGGTTCATAAAAATAGTTTTCATACTTTACGGATTTCACAATGTTACCAAGCACTGCTTGCCACACTTAATTTCTTTTCGCGCCGAAATTATTAATTTTCGAAATCCAGTTTTGATTTTGTGACAAATAGCGTAGTTTTTATTTTATATGATTAAGATTTAATAGTGCTGACCTACACACATACTGATTTTAATTAGCCAACAACTTACGAAGATAATTTAACCAACTTAATCAACATATTTATTACTTACTTCAATCATTAAATTTTCTAAAATATATATTTTTCCAGGGAAAACCAATCCACTCAATACCCCGACAATCCCTTTTACCTTAAAAACTCTACGTACGACAAACCACTCAACGCCCTTGACGTCATTTTAATTTCTCAACCAGAACCCACCCTAGCAAACACGGTTGGCGGTGTGATTCGAAACTTGAACTGGACCAAAGATGGGTCCGCCATTGAGAAAGGATGGATATCCGGAAAACGTTACGCATTCTGCACGGGCCAACGCAAACATCATATTCCTCTCAAGGTTTTAAAAAATTAATAATGGACCAAATACCAGGTATTGTTTATGAATTCAAAATCTAAATTTCCCCAAAAATTTCAGGAATATGTAGTCAACCTTCCAACAAACTATGAGAAGCATGTGATCCTATTAATGAAAACTGTTCTGCATAACGAGATAATATTGGACCAAGATAAATACATTAATTGGACATTAGTTAATTAACCACCTAAAGTAATCCCACATAACGGGATAAGAATTATGTAAACAAGCACCACAATCCACCTACGAATCAATAAAACATTCACCAACTAGGTGATAAGTTAGATAATTATGAATATCTATTCGATACTAGTTTAATTTAATTAACTTTACTAAAAATTTTAGTTATTGATTTAAGTAGATCTCAAAATGCATACTTTAATTATGTAAATCATACTAAATGTAGAAGATCATGTTGAGTCGGTCTTTTGCATTGGACTTAAGACTTAAATTTTAAGTGTTTGATTAACCTTCCCCCTTATGAGAACTAGTAGATGAGTACTAGTGTTAGGAACATTATTACATTATTGTAGCTTTCTCGAAATGCTTTCATTTCTCGATTTCTTCCTAATTTCACACTTGGACGAGACTTGGACATATGCATAAAAATAAAACGCATTTACACTCACTCAAAGGAACGACGTTACGATTATAGCCAGAAACAATTGATTCTATGGTCGAGGTCATCAAATTTTTATCGACTTGGTTCAAGTTTACAACCAACGTAACCGAAACCAACAATGAGTTTTTTACCAACTTTATAACCACTACCTGAAAATTAAAAATCATGGTCGTGTTTTTACAGCCATATTTTAGCTTTCTGACTACTTGTAACCGCATAACTTCCAGTAACCATGGACGACATATCTACACGTAACCTAATCTACGCTAATTAACACCAATCTCTTATGCAGAATATATTAAAAATAACATCCAAAATCTGTAACAGAATCATGTGTATATACGTAATTTACCATTACTACATTTTATCGAATCCAGCAAACATACAACGTATTTAGGATCAGGAACATTGACAAATTTCAGGCACACAATTAGACTTATATTTAAATTTAGAAGTCAGGATAGTCAGTTATCGAATAGTCACCCACTTACAGAACAGGTACTCATTTACATGGCACTTTCACATTTGTTGGACAGACTCATTTACAGAAAATATACTCATTTACCGAATAGGTACTCATTTGCAGGACAGATTCATTTTTAGGATAGTCATTAATTGACAGAATATACATATACTCACGCATAGGATAGAGGTCAGACTCATTTGCAGACCAATTTACAGTAAATATATGCACTTAACCGAACAGGTACTCTTCTTCAGGACAGGTACATTCACAGAATAGTTACTTATTTACAGACCAAGACTAATTTAAACCGCAGCCATTTTTGCATAACAGGTACTCATTCCCTTGTTCAATTTCAATTGAAATAAACGCACATATACAACTACTTAAACTCTGCGGCAGGTACCAAATACTAAATTAACATCTACGCATCTAGACAAGGAACTCAGTCCCGCTCAATTCAGCGAGATGCCGACAATGTGGACATGGCCACTTTTCCTCCATCGTCAATGGTCTCCACACGTCTATCTTGGGCTCTGGCATTTTTCCATAGTCGACACCAATCTCATCCTCTTCTTCTTCCTCCTCGTCCGATTCTCCCTGCGAACTGTCCTCCGACCTTCTTATAGTGACCATCGATATCCCACTCATTTCCTCTCCATCATCATCGACTTCTTTTCCTTGGGACGCTTTCTGCATGGAAAATTTCGCCCAGAATTTTTCCTCCAGCCGGATATCTCCCGCCCAGTAAATGACCATCGGTGTGTAAGCCATGTACAGGGTGAACCCAGTTTTTGCGAGGTTTGCAAGGGGCGCGTTCTCCTTCATTTCCAGCACGACTGGTCCCACCTCGTTCATCTGATACCAACAGAGAGCAATTCCGAAAGGGATCCAGAAGATGACAAAGATTATCGTGTATATGAACAGGAATCGGATCCGTTTCAGGCGGGAGGACAGTTTCCAATTGCCAGTGACCTCATCAGGAGAAAGATTATGCACAAAATTATAAAACTGATAAGCTAATAAGAACAAGTTCTATTCCTTACCTTGCGTAAAAACACGAACTTTCCCCGGTTTTTGTACATCACTATTAAGAATTAAAAGAGAAATATTATACCTGGAAGAGCGGTTTCACGCAGAATTGTGTAAACTTTCTAAATTGTAAAATTTTGTCAAGCTTTCTTAAATTTTATTTTAAGAACCTAATGCCAAATCAAGGTTTCAGCACTTACAACTCTTGCCTAAATAAAGTACGTTTTTCAATTTCGTTAATCTTCTTTCGTAAAATTTGTTTCGTAAACTTTGGTAATTTTTAACATGCCAGGCGTGCACAAATTAAAGAAATCAATAAGATTGCACGTGCAAAGCTTACATTAGTACCCAACTTTACAGCGCGGCACGAAATGAGAATGCATTTATAACTTTGTGATCCCATGAAACTTGTAAACTTTGCAAATAATAGTGCTATTCACAGTAACCGATTATAATCGTGAGGACGATTATAATCACAATCGATTATAATCATATACCATGAACGCACCAGATTATTTTTGTATTTTGATTATTTTGCCTAAAATATCCAACAGGATTCATTAAATAATATCATAGCAACGGCTACTTTTTCGGACGCTTTAAAAAAATTGCATTTGGATCAAGGATTATAATCCAAATAATCGTCCTCAGAGAGGATTATTTTTTTGACGATTATAATCACATTGGTTTATTTTTCCCCATAGAGAATTTTTGGGTGATTATAATCGATAACGATTATAATCGCAATAATCGGTTACTGTGAATACCACTAATGTGAATTAATCAATGTATTTTTATACGCGAAAAATATGCTAATCAATCATTATTTTAAAGGACACGTTATAGGGCAACATTTCTACTCTAAAGGGGCATACACAAATTCTATTCTCTTGTACCCTTGTGACCTTCGTAATCTTCGTAATCTCACCTAATGACATAATTCACTATATGCTTTCTTCTTATTGCTGCAACTCGAAAAGCTAAACCCTTCAATTTATGTCACAACCCTCCTTTCTTCCTATTCTTGCACAATTACAAATCTTTACGTGAATTAATCCACCTGAAACACCTTAATCTTTATCCACTCAACTTACATACAACCATCCAGCCACCGACGCCTACGTGGAACACGACACCTCTCCAGATCTCCACCACCCCTCCGAGCACCTCGCTCCCCACCAGGGCCACCTGAAAAGAAGAATTTCGCAATTAAGTCACCTCCAAAATTCCAATCCAATTCACTCCAATTTCTTATCCAGGGTTTCGATTCTTCCGAATTTGCTACATTTCTTCTACAGCGTGTGAAATGCAAGGTGCACGAAAATGCAAGAATGTGTACGAAATATATGCATGAAGTATCTACAGCAGCGGGGCGTAGTGTCGCGCGTGTTGCACTTCTTGCGGGTCAAAACCGCTAAAAGTAAACACTTTCTTGCGGTCAGTTTTTCATTTCATAGTGGTTTGCTGGATTACTCGCACTCCAAAAAAACAAATTTAGAAAATACAAGGCGCAAGAAACAATAAGAAACTACATGAAAGTGCATGAAATTGTAAGAAAGTGCGAGACAGTCAACGAAACAGCAAGAAACTGCACGAAACACAAAAACTCCAGAAAGTGCAAGAGTATGAAAGAAATTGTAAGCCAGTGCAAGAAACTGAATTAAACAGCAACATATTGCAAGAAACGAAAGAAACTGTGTAAAACTGGAAGAGTTTGCTCGAAATTGTAAGCAAGTGCAAGAAATTGGATGGAACAAGATATTGCAGGAAAGTGCAAGAAACTGCAGGCAATGCAAGAAACTGCAGGCAATGCAAGAAACTGCAAGAAAGTTCAAGAAACTGCAAGAAAAGCATTAAGCTGCATTAAGCTGCAAGAAACTGCAAGAGTATGCATAAAACCGCATCAAACTGCAAGAAAGTGCAAAAGTATGCATGAAACTGTAAGATATTGCAAGAAACTGCAAGAAACTACAGGACACTTGGGGTGGGCACTTCCACCCGCAACCCTGTTCTCATCATCATCTTATCATCTTCACTTCCTTGTCAATCTCTCACTCACCTTGACACATTTCCCCATCGCGTATTCTGTTTCCAGTCCTGCCTGCACGGCCCCCAGTCCGGCGAGGAACCAACAGGTCAGAATTCTCCGAACGGTGAGATGACTCCCATCAGCATCGAAACGAGGCCCAAGCTGACGGCAGGCCTCCGCCACGAGGGACATCACTTCCAAAGGATACATGTTCGTGAACCAGGCTGAAAAACAATCAAATATCACAAACTCAAGTGTTGTTTTATTACCCTCTTTGAGTGACATTCTCTTGGTCAACTTGACACTTTTTTTACGCAATGCTACAATTTCTCATTTCATTTCTCGAGTGAAAGTGTACACTCTTAAAAAATACTGTTACCCTTGTCAAGAAACTAATAAGTATAATGTACAGTCTTAAATTCCATATCAAGTAGGTTGCATTCAATATCCAGCCTAAACCTTACAATGTAAAGTTTACGCGGTTTAGAGTATGTGTGTAAAGTTTACATACTCTTTATTAGGTTAACTTCACTTCGAATTTTGTGTATGTAGCCTACTCAATATCATGATTGTTCATATATATTAATTTATTATAGAATTATGAATAAATAAAATAGTCATTCATTATGACATCAATTTATGAATAATCAAGAGTCAATGTTTTTGAATTCGTTAAAATGGGATAAAAATATTTATTCATGTTAGTTTCAAGAAAAATAAATAAATAATGTTACTCATACCGCATTATTCAATTTATGCCAAATACGTGGGGTATATTGAGACCACCATGGAATAAGGCAAATTTTAGATATAATTAATAAAAAATGTGTAAATATGTAATAAATATGTATTTTCAAGTTTTAAATAAATTTTGAATAGTTAACGAATTAAATATTTTAAAAATAATTAAAAAAGTAGAACATTTCTCAGTTTTAAATTGAGTGAAGTTTGGATGAGGAAATATTTTTGTGGATTTACTTTTCAGAAGTCATCCTAATTTTTAAGAGTGTACCAAATGGAAGTGATTAGTTTAGGTATTTACTTCTCAGGAAGGAGAGTAGCGGACACATGAAGCTTGTGCAACTCGTGATGAAACGCGATCCTTCCCCAACGTCAAACATGGACAAAAGTGATGCCAGAATGGTCAGCAGAGACCAGTTCGCGATTAAGATGTTGATGCATCTGTAACCCCAAAATAGTGCAAAAGTTTAACAAATATGACAAATTTCACCGATTATATGGTCACCACGATCTGAGGGGCAATTTGAGACGAACTATTGTGAACTATTGTGAACCCGTATAAAATGTGTCGTTTCACAATTCAACAACACATTAATTTGAATTCCAGCAAATATTACGCAGTATTTCATCCATTTAACGTGACGAATGAATACTTCCCAGATAACAATTCGCTCTGAATTCTCTTATGTTTCGATATTACATTCGCTTTGATATCGATATCGAATTCGCCTCGAATTTCCAACTTTCGAGATAAATTCGAGGAGATATCGAAGGGAAATGTCCGCCGATTCGACAGAGAATCGATGGAGAATCGTATATCGATTTCGCCGGTAAGTCTTGAATTCGATGAACATGTAAGAGTTTATAACGATTTCTAAACGAATTCAATGCGACTTCTCCACGAATTTAATGCGACTTCTATACGAATTCACTGCGAATTAAGTAATAAATCGATACGATTTCTGCTATATTTCGAGTTAATCCAGCTTATAGTTTATTTGATTTATTCTAAATATTATGTAATATACATAACTGTTTCTATTAAAATAAACATAAGTTGAATAATCAGATGACCCTGGTAGTGAAATTGGCCGCGATGTTAAGTCACTTCCTATTGAAAATATACTAATGTTATTCCTAAAATCTTTTGCAACAGTTATTATCGATAGTATATATTTGTACCTCATACGCTTCCCAACTCTATCTGCGACTTTCTTAAGAGATTTTTGTATTTCTTCGTCAACTGTGCCCTCGTCTGGATAATTTGGAGTCCTTGGGTGAGCTGCTACCGCATCTGAGATTAACATATTTTTAAAATGTTTTAGAGTGTTGCATAATGAGATTGCATTATGAGGAATTTTAAATTCAAGGGACCAATTTTGGATACTATGTCTAATATCAAAAGTATCAATTTCACCTTCACTTTCTGAGTTAATAGTTTCAGCTGAACTTACTTCCGACTTCAATTTCTTCCAGATCTTCCTCGAACACTTGTTCGGAATAAATGTTTTCCCTTTCGGCCTGGACTAGGTCACTATCGAAATTTTCCTCGAAAATTTCACTTGGTGTTTTTACAAGTCTTCTTTTGTAGCGAGCACTCAACTGAAAAAGTCGTCTCCTTCCCATGAGGAAAGATTTGAATGTGGCAGCTAAAATTACTTAAAAATACAATAACAGCGTGAAAGAGAGAAATCACAGTGAATTCTCTAAGAATTATTTACGAATTCGAGATTCAAGGCGAACAGTTTATAGTCTCCTATTCCTGTAAGAAGAATTCCTATCGAAATCGGGGAGAATTCCTCACTACAATAACAGCGAATTCGTTTAAGAATTCATAGTGAAGTCGTTTCGAATTCGATAGAATAATTCTCTGAGAATTCGAGTCTAATTCATTACGAATTCTGAAATGAGCGTAATATCGAATTTAGATACGAATAATTACCGAATTCGATGCGAATTCGATACGAGAATAATAACGAAATCTGAGAGAATTCGAGTTCTCTGTTTTAACGCGACATTCTCTGCGAATTCTCTAAGCGAATTCATAGCGACCTGTTATCTGGGTTGTAAACCAATTTATAACGAAAAATGACAAATTTACACTCATTTCCTACAAGTCGTTCCTTTTATAATATCACAACTTTAATTAATATGAAAGTGTGAAAGTTGCATTTATTTGAAAACTCGTGAAATTGATTTTCTTTTAGAAACTTCCAGTATGAGACATTGAATTAGGGTGAGATGAGATTAAAAATCCACCCCACAGCAATACCTCGTGCTGTGTAATCTTACTGTCCCCTAAAACTTGGTTGACATTTGTCTCAATTTTATCATACAAAATGTATGAAAAATGCGAAAAACTATATGATGTATTTAAATAAATACAATATTAATAACCAAAACTCGTGACCTAACTTATCAGTTAAACTATGTCAGTCAAATTAAGTCCAAAACTTCTAAATTGACCAACTCACCTGGGCTTCTTTGTTTTCACCACGATGCCAAGAATCCACCCGTTAATCACCACCGAACTCACGCACACCATGGTGGTCAACCGCTTGCAAAACGCTTCCATTTTCTCCACACGAATCAAGTATAATAAACAATCTCAGGTAAAACTATGTACAAACGAATGAAAAAACAGTGAAAACTAATCCAGCGTCTCTTCCCCTCCACGGTCTCCACTCATCTACACAAGGACAAAGATGCGGAAGGGGAAAAACAGAGGAGAGATCCAGCTTTCTCTCGCCACACTTTCTCCGCCCACCTCAATTAATACCTACGTACGCGTTGTGTGACATTGAACGCGTCCCTTTCACACATCCCCACTCGTTCGACTCTGAAAGCTTTGACGCTTTGTGCCTCACACATCGGGGAACGTGCATAAAGCATGGGATGAACTTAAAACTGCTAGAGAATTTTAATTTAATTGGAACGATAAATGGTTAAACGTATCAGACAAATTTTACCTCCTCCTTGAAGGAAATTTTTAGATTTGATTTTAACAAAATTACAGAATATCATTGTACCAGATTATGTAATATATTAATATGTATATTAATAATAAGTAATATTGTTTATATTACATATGTATGAATTTTAATAGCTACATTATATTAATGTATTACCGAAAAATTCTGCCATTCAGGTTGAAATGATGTTGCTCATTTGAAAGTAACTGGAATCTCGAATTTGCTCTCAACTACACAAAATCCTGGCTAGCTTAACCATTTACCAAGTTTACGCTACTCTGAATTTATTTATTAGTTTATGTATTGTTTTGTTAATTGCGAGAGCACATATGCCTTCCAACAAGGCAAAAGTATCCTAAAAATGAGGATAACATTTATGGCATGCGGAAACACGGGTTTCTACCCAAATACACCACTTTCGTAATGCAAGACCCATTTTTTGTCACAAAGAAATGAAATGCAGTCTTTTACCGACATGAGTGCTCATACTACACAATTCAAAAGGAAGGCTGCAATGCATGAAATCACTGTAATCTCCTCCGTTACAATTTACACGTTCACAAAATATCACTACATTCACCCAACGTAAACAATTGTTTCACTCTAGAAACTGTTTGAAATCTGTACGCATTCTTAAGAATGCCATGTTATGCGTATGCTAAAGCCAGATGGGTCCAACTCTATTGGAGTTGATTTGGAATAACTTCTTACCAGATGGTAGCACTTTGTTGCTCAGTGATAAATTTATCAATGCAACAACATTACAAAACGGTACTGCTAATTTTTCCCGCAGGTAAAGCAATGTCAACATGTAATCTGATCTGCAAAATTATTTAATATCACTTTAACCAAATCTGGTTCAAACTGATTTTCGGGAGATTCAATTAGGAATCTTACGGTGTCGACCACTTAATCAGGTTCATCCAACCATTTACAAAACTGACTGGCTGGCTATACGTTACATGTCATAATTCAAATGAGAGATTATGGCTCAGTCCCCACTCCCTAATCCGAGATCTTCTTACATACTCTTACGAATAATGCAACATTTTTGCTAAGTAAATTCTACCAGAAACAACCTTCTGTTTTCCCAGAGGCACAATGGCTTGATAAAGGTCAAAGTACACTCTGGATTTTGTAATAGTTAACTTATACACAATTTAGAGTTTATTTACTCTTTAAAAGGGTAACATTATTGTTAACAGAGTATGGAATCTGCAGGTGTGCCTAACTTAATTAGTTTACATCTTGCTGACAAAAATATTATCCAACGGGAAAGCGAGTAACATAATGCTAACATATGTGGAAAAGAAACCTTAATAGTGAAATGCGTAGACAATTCTAATTAAGCCAACTAAACGCTGGAAATTGTTTACTTGGATAATCCAGCGTTGACCAAACCAATCTAATCCAGCAATGGGATAGTAACCATGGATAAGGTGACGCACGGCATGTCCTTCTAATACACAGAGTCCTTACAATAACTTCTGTCGCAAACAAGCATAAAAAATTGAGTAGGGTTGTATTTGCTCAGATGCAGTGCTGAAATACTGGACAGTGTTAATATGCGATAGCTGTATGAAGCTATCTCCATTTTTGCAAAAGTTTGCGCATTTGGAATATATTTCCACCGCTTTCAGGCATAATTCTCTCATGATAACGTTCTTACTCTTACAGGCGTCAATTTGGTAGTTTTACACAAATAATATACTACAAAGTACTAAAAATGTAGCGTTAATGAATTTTGAATAATCAGAAGAGCATGTATTGTAGCTATGTGCAGAATGATTATGATTAATGATTGCAGATAATGATTGCATTACAGATTATGCACAATGTTATTATTTATTTCGAAAGAAGGATACAAGTGAAGAATCTAACAGGGACATATAGATTTGGAATTTTATTGAAATTGAAATAATTTTACATCCAGTTGAACGCGAAGCCTCCGCGAGTAACGCTACTGTCACTTGTGAAAAGGATAACTGCCAGACCTGTATCCAACATGATAGGGGGTGGAAGTTCTGATCTACAAAGTCTGTAATTGCACAAAAATTTATTAATTAGGTAAATTTGTTATAAATCACACAGCACTATACTCTAATTTTCCGAAAAATACTCGTACATACTTCAAATCGTATCTCGTAAATATTTAAAGTACTTACGTTAGCTTCCAATATCTCGTAATGGATTAGATCAACATAACTTATGAAATCTTCGAGTTTACAATTTTTATTATAAATCGGAGGGTATTTTTCGCTAGTTTACCCTCACCGTCATCACCATCGAGTAAAATTATAGAAATCCATGGAATCGACATCAAACTATGGTTGAGCCATTTAAATTAAAGCCAATTTTGTCTATATCTTGCTGAGAGGTTTATTGGCCGACCTCGTAATGCTAAATAACATTGGAGACTTAAATTGGCATTACTTTACAAATTGTTGACCGATTTTCAAAATTGCTACTGTTTTGGAAAGCTCAGGTCAATTGGCGAAATATATATTTCCAGATTTTTCAAATTCGACCACACCCCTTCGAACTTAAGGTCACAATTTCAAAAAATACATGAAATACAATTGCTGCGTACACCGGAATTTGAAAGCACAGAAATCGAGTTACATGTCGAAAAAATACCTGGATCCCTGGACACTCTGAACAATATTCAATGGGTCATATGCCCCACCCCCAGTGGGTGTGCCCGAAGGCGCCTTTTCGATTTCAATGAAACCATGTCATGTGATATATCATTTTTCTCAGGATTATGAGGACATACGACTGAACACTTAAAATTTACGAACCACACCCCCAGTGGGTGTGGTTCTCGGCGACTTTTCGACTTTAACGAAACTACGTCATGTGACACATCATTTTTCTCAGCTCGACTAGGGGATTCCGACAGAGTAATCCAAATTTTAGAACCACACCCCTCAATGGGTGTGATTCTCAGAAACTTTAAAATTTCAATGAAACCATGTCATGTTCAGAGTGTCCAGGGGGTCGAGGTATTTTTTCGACATGCAACTCGATCTTTGTGCTTTCAAATTCCGGTGTACGCAGCAATTGTATTTTATGTATTTTTTGAAATTGTGACCTTAAGCTCGAGAGGGTGTGGTCGAATTTGAAAAATCTGGAAATATATATTTCGCCAATTGACCTGAGCTTTCCAAAACAGTAGCAATTTTGAAAATCGGTAAACAATTGGTAAAGTAATGCCAATTTTAGTCTCCAATGTTATTAAGCATTACGAAGTCGGCCAATAAACCTCTCAGCAAGATATAAACTAAATTGGCTTTAATTTAAATGCCTCCACCATAGTTATATCCACATTAGTATCATATAAATTTACAAACTCATGTTTTGCAAATATCCTTAAAATACAAATGTTTTCAATTTCGCAAATTTCAAAAATGAGTTACGATGTTGCCATGCTGCATTCCCAAGACACTGATGAGTTCGAATATTATGAAGGATGCATAAAAATCCAGCCTTTCTGATGACAGTTTGGGACCAGCTCAATATAAATAATTTACAAAAATCAGATTTGCTTTCAAATGAGATGAAATACTCACATTTCTTCCGTCACCAAATGGCCCCAAGGCACATACCAGCTGAGGACTTTGACTTTATCGTAAAGGCAATGAAAACCACTTGGTTGTTCTAATTCCATTCCGGTGAAAGTTAAGGTGCGACTGCCTGCATCGCTGGGGCTGACGATTATTACGGCACGCTCGTTGTTCATATATGGCTGTCCATTACCCGGGTAGGCTGTGGCTCCGGTGGAGTTGAGGAAAGTCTCGTAGTGCGTGAAACCTCCGCCAGCTACGTCAAGGTCGCCGCTGGAGTACATCTCTAGGCTGAAGCCACTGCTCGCCTCCGCCCCGGTGACTAGACTAACCAAAACTGTTCCGGCGGAGTAGGTGTAGTTCGCACCAATTTCTGTACTATAAATATGTGTAAAATTATTGTTTGATGTCACCTTACTAACTCAGAAGCTCAATAAATTAAGCATTTAAGAAAATCTCTAGCAGGCATATCACAGCGTTTTCCCCAAATTTATAAATGATTTAAACCAAATTTAGCTTATGTACATGCTTGCTACATATGCTCTCAATATTAACTTTGTAGCAACAGTTGCTGACCTTCCTTCTGCTTCCAGAATGTTAGATTATGATAAAAGTAAATTTTCACTCTGCCCCTTAAACTAAAATTCCTCTCTACTTCTGAAAATTAAATTTCGCCCTGGTCCTTAAACCATAATCACAGTCGGGTCCTACAACTATAGGAACTATCTTACTCGTTAAGTTGAAATATCACTGTGCTAATTACATTAAATTCTCACTCTGCCGCTCAAGCTATACCCGGATAACTAAAATTTTTCACTGCGCCGTACACATTATATTGATATCCCTGAATAGCATGGATGAATTGGGTCAACTTTAGATCCCCCATTCCAAGGCCGGATTCCTTCAAGGTAAATCGGACTGCATCATAGGGTGCTTGCACGGTCCACAGGCAGGCCTGACCTGCTGGAATTGAGCTCGCAAGTTGGAAGTTGATCGCGGCCGAAGACGTGTTCACCATTCCACCACATGTGGTAACTAGACAACGAAGAAATAAAATGGAAAAATGAGTTTTAAAATTAATGCCTTCTTACTTATGGTGTGATCATTTAAGAAGAGACTTTTTTACATGCAAAGCTTATGGCGAGCAGTCTCTTATTTAAATGATCACACAATAAATAATAATGTACTTAAATTCCTCAAAATATGGATGTAATATGTACTTCAAAATTTCGAAAATATGCACATAAAAAATATTTTCCAACAGAAATTTCCTACTTTATATATATGTTCTAGATTTGAAAAGATTCAAATTTTTACCACTCTTATAACTGAATTATGTCAGAATTACATTTAAATCGTCATTCGAAGACGAATAATGCGAGACCAGTTCCATTTCAAGGTTTTCTAGTGTAATTGTACGGTCGTGATTCTCGCGATAACTCAGGGGTAGTGCTAATAGTTGTAAATTATTGCACTAGGTTGACCAAACATTTATCATTAACAATTTACGATATTTATTCAACTGACACTATTAAACCGGAGAGGAATGATGTGTACAGTACAAGAGATTCTATGTGAATATACGTGCTTACTCGCACACAGACAAATATACACTAAAAACTGCGGGCTCGCACTGCCCAAAGACAAAGAAAGAATGGTTCTAAAAATAGAATAGAACATTCGAGAACAAATTCATAAAATCCGCTAAACATTCTCACATTACACTACATGCTAAAAACTTGCATGAAAATCGACATAAAATAATTTCACATTCATACATACCTACTTAATATTTTCATGAAAACTAAAACTATAAAAAATGATTATTATTGACTCGACGGAACAGTAATTTTTGGCTTGAAAAATGCGGAAAATTGGATTGGCACATCGTTCACACGAATTGACAACCGATTATCATGACAATGTAATTTTGAGAAATTCTTAATTTCTCAAGGAAGAAAAATATATTTGCATAAAAAAACTCGAAACGTATATTTAAATATTTATATTTAGAATAAACAAGGCCCCAAAAAATAAGAAATCTTAGTGAGTCAGCGCAATCACAGTTAATAAATAAAATTAGATTGAATAATTTTTTCATCACCGCTCTCGGTATCATTTTTCTTTGAAGCATTAATTAATCATTTAGAATAATTACCTCCTTTTTCAAAGGGTCTGGAGATTTCATCAGCATAGGAATTAATAGGATATCCAAATTTATATATCGAAATTGTACATTATCAAATCTTTCTAAATTTAAAATTCGCAGTTCACAATTATATTTCATCTCGATTAATTTAGCCAACTTCTCGTAACGAGAATCTCGTTCAATAGTAAAAACGTCATCTTGTAATCTCAATTAATTTAATGAATGCAAGAGTTCATGCGTATGCAAAACTAAATTTACAGTGGACCCAGTAAAAATTATCCCGAGAGAGGTGATGCAAAAGTTATTCAATCTAATTTTATTTAACTGCGATTGCGCTGACTCACTAAGATTTCCCATTTTTTGGGGCCTTGTTTATTTAAAACTTGTAGTTGGTTGTCAAAGACATTAGTTTTACTGCACTACCGCCGTTATTATCGGTACCCTGAATATTTTTATTAAATTTTTGATTTTCAAACTTGAATAACGCCGTTATTTCTCAACCGATTTAGGTCATTTTGCGCTTAAAATGTCCGGAATGACTTTGCCTAAAATATTTTCAATAAGCGAGCATCCTGAGATACACCACTTATGAATAATAAAAATAAATATGTTTTCAGGGGAAAATTTTTGCACATTTTGGCACATAACTTGGGTAAAAATCAAACATTCGCCAAGTCGACTAGCACATCTTTTCTAAATTACCTAACAATGATCTGTGCAAAATTTCATCAAAATCGGTTGAGAAGTGGCCGAGATATCGACTTATGTCACTTTTTTTGGGTGGGGTAAATGCATACTTAGCAAATTTTTTCGTTGTCAGGTATTTGCCTCACTAAGAAAAAGGCTCGAAATATGTAAGGAAATATGCGTATATGCATATATGTAGGGAAAAACTTTAAAATATGTATGAAAATATGTGTATGTACGAAAACCCCATAATATGTAAAATATGTAAAACCATGTTTGAATTTTTGGAATCGTACTTACTAGGGATACCTTTTCTATGATAGCTGAAAAATGAGTTCTAATTTAACTTTTCGTATGCACCATGATATGTTTCGATTACAAAGTGCAAAAATTTTTCTGCAAAACCAATTTGCTAATTTTTTAATGGCCTTCAAAGTTTGCGAAAGTGGGGGCGGAATAGGCGGAGTGGGAGTGTGTGGAGATGGGGGCGGTCGTGCCCCTCGCTATACACTACCACCACCCGTGACGGTCATTATGATCTGCGTGACACAAGGAAATCCATCAGCAACTTATATTTGATAAATTTAGTAACTTATATTTACTTTAAATTTAATTAAGTGTAAGAAAATTTAGTTAAGTGAATGAAAAAAATTGATGCATGTTGATGGCATTGTGCGAAGTGGTAAGATCAGTATGCCCAGTTTGCGCACCAAATACTTAAATCCTATTGTTATTTTAGCCATCTGCTCTTTCTCTGTTGTTAAAAATTTGCTGAAAATTGTTCAATTAAATAATCATATTAGCAATTACCACTCTAAATATGGCGAGAATCACTAAAGTGTGCGAATTATTACTAGAATTACCAAAATTAAAATACGACACTGCTAGGGTACCTATAATTGATAGTGGTTTAAATCTTAACGATTTAGCAAGTGAAGGACTGATTTTAATCGAAAATTTACTTAATTTTGAAACCCGTAATTTGAAACGCTCGTTGCATTGGAAATTGCCAGTGACGATGAAATTGACATTTACGGTGACAGTGCTGCTCAAACCGACACAAGTTCCGAAGAATCGTCATCGCATTAATGGGAGATTGAAAGTATCGAACATAATAATTATAATCTCGAAGAGATGTTAAAGATTGTAAAGTTTACAACAGTGTTAAGTCAATTAAATTGTTTCAAACTAGACGACGTTTCCCTAAAATAACAACTTATGCAACAATTTCTCGGATGAGGACATACATCGACCAGAATGACAACAAACTGAAGAAGTTAAAAGATGTAGACAATTTTGTGCTCGAAAGATTTAATTTTGCAAGAGAATCTCTAATACACATTGGTGAAGTGGATTTAAAACGCTGGGGAATTATAAAATCTAAAGAGTTATCTTTACCATTCAAAGCTAGTTCAAGTGGGGTCCATAATTTTAAGATTAAACATAGAATTGTGTCGCGAAATATAACCAAATATTTAACTGAAGCCGAGTTTGTCAATAGAGCCAATGTCGAGGAAGAACATGCATCAATTTTTTTCATTCACTTAACTAAATTTTCTTACACTTAATTAAATTTAAAGTAAATATAAGTTACTAAATTTATCAAATATAAGTTGCTGATGGATTACCTTGTGTCACGCAGATCATAATGACCGTCACGGGTGGTGGTAGTGTATAGCGAGGGGCACGACCGCCCCCATCTCCACACACTCCCACTCCGCCTATTCCGCCCCCACTTTCGCAAACTTTGAAGGCCATTAAAAAATTAGCAAATTGGTTTTGCAGAAAAATTTTTGCACTTTGTAATCGAAACATATCATGGTGCATACGAAAAGTTAAATTAGAACTCATTTTTCAGCTATCATAGAAAAGGTATCCCTAGTTAGATGAGATATTAGTAGACGAAGTTTAAGTACGATCTGGTTTGGTATGAAAAAGTTAGAAATACATACATATCCGCCCTCTGATAATCACACCCCTCGTGCGATACATATCCTCAAGTACAGTAGCAAATGGGGTCGATCAATTTTTAAAGAATTTTTAAACTTTTGAAAACATGTTTTTTTTAAATTTATGAATAATGATTGATACAAGGGTTCACCCTTTTCTACACTCCAAACTTTTCAAATGCGTTTATTTACTTCATTACCGGCGGACTTGCATAGGTAATTTGCATTGATAAGTATGTCCAAATGCTTGTGAATTCCATATAAATACTAAATTCTAAAATAAACATATTTCTTACTTGTCACGACTGGGGCGGGATCCTCATCGACTAAAATAGCGGATCGGTCGGCTAGGATTTCGGAATTCAGATCGTATTCAATAGAAAAATATCCCATTCAAAAATTTAATAATTTATTCAATTTATCAACATTTCCGATACAGCTAAAAAAGTAAGGAGCAGTGAAAAACCCTACTTACCCGTCGCCACGGCAACCACCGCAATAAGAAAAACTGCCAAAGCGATCATATTTGTAAAGGCTCTTGTGACTCGCTCACTCCGTGATAGACTGCCTCGTTAAAAACGGCGCATCCGTTTTATACCCGACGTTCGGGATTTCCAATCTCTTCCGTGACGCAAGGCTCCATTGTTTGTTTCATCATCGATCCATTTTCAAATCACAATCAATCAATTAATGTCTGTTTAGATGCAAGATTAATATAATTTATGAGGTAAATAATGTCATAAATGATCGGTTCCAGTCCAGCAAGACCATAACACGTATGTAAATATTTATATACAACTTATAACATACGCAAGCAAAGTGCGTCCAAATAAAGAATGCAAGTAGGTATGTATACAGGGTCGGCGGAACGTGGAAAAATTTGGGGACAGCATGTTCAACGAAAATTACCTGTCCTTATCTAAGAGCATTGTGCTAACTGTTCCGCAGCCCCCGCTACAATATTTACATAATTAGGAGCTTATGCAAATAACTTTTATATCTTTTATTTATGAGTGACATTAACTTGATCACGGATTATCTTTTCTATTCCAATTCGATCACATGCAAATCACATGCAAATGGTCTGTGCATTACGTTTGTATTAGCTCAATTGCTTACAGTGGAATATTTGTTCAAGCTATCCCCGAATTTTTTAGCGAGTTATACTTAATACTTTAGGAATCACGTGATCAGATAAACATTAGCGGGAAAATTCAATTTTTGCGTAATTTTTAACTCGCTAATCCTTCACGGGCTAACACCAAGGCGGATGTGTAAACTTGACCCTCAATAATTTTCTTTAAAGGGTCATTCAACGGAAATTGGAACGTCTTGTGATTCCTGATTTTTGGCTGGATTCTTTGACATAACCCGCTAGAAAATTGTGATGAACCTTGAAAAAATTCGCAATTGTTAGGAACGAAGTTAGTCCAAGTTAGACCATACCAGTTCAATTTCATTCATGTGACTGATTATGATAGACAATTTCCTGTGATTTGAGTGAAAATGAGTGAAAGAGTCCGTCATTTCATGAGTGACTGTGAATGAAAGGATTTCTCAATCCTTTCATTTTTCACCATATGCTTAATACATTGGCCGAAGTCAGAAATGAAGTCAGATGGAGTGAAATGAAATTAAATGAATTTGAAAGAAAATGACTGAGTGTGAATGAAATTGTTCAGTCAGAAATCGGGATGACTGAATTTTGAATGAAAACAGTTTTTTGAACACGTCTGGTTTAGACTTTCACTTGTGTACAACCCTAAAAAATAGGTATGTCTTTGCAAGTCTGAAGGTTATATGTTATATAACTTGCCTTCGACTATCGAAAATACGCATTCTTTGCTATGTTCACATACGCAATTCTTGACGTGCTTAATCCTACGAATAATTAATACCTATCGTATGGTCCTACTCAAACCACACCTTCTAAAAGCGTGCTCAATCCTCGCGTGTAAATTGATAATCGTTCTGAAAACGGAAGAAGTAACAAAAAGCAGCTCATTTTTAGTGCAATGTCCCCCCTGCCTAAATAGATTGATAAGTGTTGGCAACCTGGCCTTATCATTTGCATCTCTCCTTCTGTCACTTCAACATTAGATTATTACAATTAGGCATTTGAAATTGCATTTGGTTAGGTCAACATTTATTCATATCGTACTTAACCAAACCTGATTACTCACTAACTCCACTCAAGTAAAGTCACGTCGTTTAAATTTAGATACCTAACTATTAATATAAGTATAAGCTAGTTTAGTTTCCAGTTAAGCAACACAAATTATTTATGGCGTTAAAATTAATGGTATTAAGTTAAATTATTACCATACCCAGCCAACCTTGGGCAGGCCGGCCAACAAATTTACGGTCAAACACACGGGGATTGGATGAGGTGTTGAGTGGATGAGGTGCACTCGGCTTGAAGAAAAACATGTGACAATCCATAGAAACGAGTGTCTGATCAACCTGCCACCTGTGTCAGGGTATGTATATGTACGTATATCCCAAGGTTGTCAGATAACCACACACCCCACGGGGGGTGTAGAAGGGGGAAAATGAGATTTTGGCTTAAACTAATTCTATGGATGAAATAAAGTGAAAATAGGTGTCATCTATTTTCACTTTATTTCATCCATAGAATTAGTTTAGATGTTGTTTAGTAAAATTTCTCTTGGGTACCCTGTCGATTTCATAATTATACCTTACATCAATTAATTAAAGTCTTAATTCGTGATTTCCTATAAAATACGGAATATTAACATCCATCCCTTTCCACGTTTGACTCATATTTTTTAGAGTTTGTTACTTTATAAAGCTTCAAAAATATACTATTTAACCACAGTCTGAATATTGCGTTCGGCAAAGTTAGCTTGGATTCTATTAATCTATCCAAATAGATTGTTTCGTTGCAACATGGTGTCAATGTGACACTTTATATGGCACGGAAATTTTAAACTCCCCCATTTATCAGCATGTTTAAAAACATTACGATAACTTTCTTCTTAATTTCGCATGAAGGTTCATAAATAAACCCTCCAAACGAATGTAAATGAGTAGCGTCAGACCGATTCAAGTTTCCTTTAAAGTATCCGTATATGACCTCGTACCAACGATCATGAGGTCAAAAATATTAACGTCCTTGGAATCGCAGTCTAATTTCCTTTAAAATGATTCTCCATATGACAAATTATGAATCTTTTGACCTTTGACCTCGTCCTCAAGGTCATAAGGTCAAAAATATTAACATTCTTGAAATCGCAGTCAAATTTCCTTCAAAATGATACCCCATGTGACAGTTATGTATTTTTTGACCTTTGACCTCGTCCTTAAGATCACAAGGTCAAAAATTTGAACGCCATTGAATTCGTGCTGAAATTTCCTTTAAAATGACACCCCATATGAAAATTAATGTTAAATTTAATTTGGACCACACCCCCTGGCGCGGTGGGGTGTGGTCCGATTGACCCAATTTTCGAAGTCGACCGAGAACTAAAAATTAGAAGCACAATGGCGAAAACGGGGTTTGATTATATTGACCCGTTCTGGAGATATCCTGCTCACAGACGGACGGACGGACGGACGGACGGACGGACAAAACGATCACAATAAGTAGCTGACGCTACTTAATAAATGTATAAACCCATTTTTTCCCCATTACTTTTTCAGTTAACGACAAAACGACTCGGACGATGTCCTGTTGGGCGAAAATATTTCTCCTTTCCACGGCGTTCCCCACATATGGAATCCTTCACCACAGCTGCACATTGTACCGCCGAGTACACCCAGCAGGTAAACATGCACCCATATGCATAAATTCATATTTTCAAAATCCATTTTTGATTTTGTGGTAATTATCTTACTTTTTATTTCATGTGATTAAGATTTTAATAGTGAATGCATAAATATATACATAATAATTGTAATCAGTAAACTACTTACGACGATAATTTAACCAAATTATTTAAAACATTTAGTCAACTCTCTTCAATCTTAATTTGTCTGGGAAATATTTTTTTTCCAGGGGAAACCAATCGACTTAATGCCCTGACAATCCGCTTCACATTAAAAACTATACGTACCACAAAGGTTCTTGACGGTATTTTCATTTCTCATCCGGAACCCACCCTAGCAAACACGGTTGGCGGTATGATTCGAAATTTGAACTGGACCAAAAACGGCTCCACCATTGAGAAAGGTGGGCTATCCGGAAAACGTTACGTATTCTGTACGGGCCAACCCAAACAACGTATTCCTCTTAAGGTTTAAAAAAATAAATACACAATTTAGCATGTAATTCACAAAATATTTTTATAAATTTCAAGTCTAAATTTCCCAAAAAATTTCAGGAATACGTAGTCAACCTTCCAACAAACTATGAGAAGCGTGTGAACCCCAAGAAGGAAAATTGCTCTCGATAACGAGATCATATTGGAACAAGATAAATAGATTAATTGGACATGAGTTAATTAATCACCTAAAGTAATTTCACATGATGGGATACGAATTGTATAATCAACAAGCACCACAATCCATAATTACACATCTACAGATAATCTATAAAATATTCACCAACTACATGACAAGTTAATTATAAATATCTATTCAACACTTGTTTAAGGTGTCAGCAATTTTAATTATATTCACTAACCTACATCTGCAAATGCATACTTATACAGATGTAAATAACGCTAAACGCAAAAAATCATGTTGAGTCGGTCTTTTGCATTGGATTTATGTCTCATTAAGCTTCCCCTCCAGGAGAACTAGTAGATTAGTACTAGTGTTAGGGACATGTTATATTATTGTAGCTTTCTCGAACTGCTTTCATTTCTCGATTTCTTTCTAATTTTACACATATACGAAACTGGGACAAGTAGTGAAATTCACTCAAAGTGATTAGATCAAAGATTAGAAATTAGATCAAAGTAGTTACGATTATAGCCAGAAACAACTGATTATGCGGTCAAGGTCAGACTTAGCATCGACTTGATTTAAATTTACCACCGATGTAATCTAAACCAAAAATAAGTTTTTTACCAACTCTTTAACCACTCCCTGTAAATTTATAACTCTGGTCGTAGATGCAAGCATATATTTTATCATTCTGATTATACTTGTGACCGCATAATATTCGGTGTATGTATAATGTAATCGTGGACGACATATCTACGCATACCCAGATCTTGATTACTTCAGACCACGCTCTTATATATTATGTAGAATATAATATCCAATTATATATCTATAGCACATTATACATATAGCACATTTGTATACTTTACCATGACTACATTTTACTTAATCGAGCATACAGACAAGGTATTTAGATTCAGGAACAATGAAAAATTTCAGGCACACAAATAGACTCGTATTTCAATCAAGAAGTCAGGATAAAGTCATTTATCGAACATCCACCCACTTACAGAACAGGTACTCCTTTACATGGCACATACTCGTTTGTAGGACAGACTAATTTACAAAAAATATACTCATCTACAGAATAGGTACTCATTTGTAAAACTGACTCATTTACAGAAAATATACTCAATCACATTACTTCAATATCCACTCATTTGTTGGACAGACTCATTTAATGGACAGGTATTCGTTCACTTAATATATACTAATTTACAAGACAGGTACTCATTTGCATGACAGACTCAGTTATAAATTAGGCATTCATTTATAGAACAGACTATCATTTACGACACAGGTACTCCTTTACAGAAGAGGTACTCATTCCATTCTCCAATTTAAATTCAACTAAAAATACATATATAGTTAATTAAACTCTGGAGCAGGTGCAAAATACTAAATTTCTATCCAAACTTCTAGACAAGGAATTCCGTCCCGCTGAGCTGAGCGAGATGCCGACAGTGTGGACATGGCCACTTTTCCTCCATCGTCAACGGTCTCCACACGTCTATCTTCGGCTCTGGCATTTTTCCATAGTCTACGCCAATCTCATCTTCTTCCTCCTCCTCCGATTCTCCCTCCGATGTGGATGACTTCCTTATCGTGACCATCGATATCCCACTCATTTCCTCTCCATCATCATCGGCTTCCTTTCCTAAGGACGCCTTCTGCATGGAAAATTTCGCCCAGAACTTTTCCTCCAACCGGATATCCCCAGCCCAGTAGATGACCATCGGTGTGTAAGCCATGTACAGGGTGAACCCGGTTTTTGCGAGGTTTGCAAGGGGCGCATTCTCCTTCATTTCCAGCACGACCGGTCCCACCTCGTTGATCTGATACCAACAGAGAGCAATTCCGAACGGGATCCAGAAGATGACAAAGATTATCGTGTATATGAACAGGAATCGGATCCGTTTCAGGCGGGAGGAAAGTTTCCAATTTCCAGTGAACTGACCAAGAGAAAGTTAAAAAAAATTATAAACGTGGCAAAGTTGTGAATGAAAGTACGGTATATAAATAATGATACATTGTATTTCTCACCTTGAGCAAGAACGTGAATTTGCCTCGATTTTTATACATCACTACAAAGAAATATAAAAATTAATTATTTTAATTATGAATTTCATGCAGAATTGTGTAAACACTTTAAATCGTAAAATGTTTTCAAGTTTGCTCCACATTTATGTTAAAAATCTAGAGGCAAGTTTAGTTTTTAAGTTATACACTGTTGCCCAAAATGCTGCACATTTCTTAGTTTCGTAAACTTCGTAGATTTTCTCGCGTGTCAGGCGTGAACATATTAAAACAATCTATACGATTGAACTTAAAAAATTCTCATTAGTAACCATACACCTCGCCATGAAGTTACCCTGCATTTAGAATATTCTAATCCCGTTAGCCTTGTAAACTTTGCAAATTAAATTAACGATAATACAAAATTCATTTGCGTATGAGGAAAATACATTAATCTACAGCAGCTTATACAAAATCTTGTTTTACGGCAAACTTAATTTTCGCAATTTCTCCAAATCACATACATAGATACCTATGTATGTATGCATGTAACTTGCATAAATTCTACAACAAAAACAAAACACCACAGAATTTTTGCATATTACTTGACGTTATTCAAACTTATTTAATCATTTTAAAAATAGCTATCCCAATTCAATTGAGCTCTACACATATCCTATTCACTCGTAAACTTGATAACTTCGCAACCTTTGTAATCTAACCGAACAACATAATGCTTTGCCTAGTTTCTATACATAAATTATAAACAAAAAAGAGCAAACTATCCGAATACTTTCACTGCCTTTCTCTCATTCAATATTTACAATATGACAAATCTTTCCGTGTTCCAATCCACTTGAGACACTTTAATCATTCGACACTCAACTTACAGAGAATCATCCAGCCTCCGACGCCGACATGGAACACGACACCTCTCCAGAGCTCCACCACCCCGCCGAGCACCTCGCTCCCAACCAGACCCACCTGAGAAAAAGAATTTCGCAATTAAGTAACCTCCAAAATTCCAATCCACTCCACTCCAATTTCTCATCCATCGCTTATTTTCTTGCGTGTTTGCTACATTTCTTATATTGCAAGGCAGGAAGCGAAAAAAAATGCAAGGAACAAAAAAGGCCGCATCTCGAGCCGTATTCAGTATCTACACACAGGGTAGTTAAAATGTCAGGTTACAATGGAAAATTTTTCAATGGGAAAAATTCGTAAATCTCCATTAGTTACCGAAATGTTGCCTCTGAAATTCAATATTTTAAGAATTTTGTCATCAGTGTTCCATAAATTTTGCTAAAAATTAATAAAACCTCAACCCCAAATCTGTAACTAATGGAAATTTACGAATTTTTTCAATTGAAAAAGTCTCCATTGTAACCTTACTATTAAACCACCCTCTACATACAGCGGCGGGGCATAGTTTATTCTATTTATTGCAGTTGAAGGTCAAAACAGCTGCAAGAAATCATATGTATATTTCTTGCAAATGGTTACTTGACCTTGTTTTATTTCTTGCGGGTATGCTACATTCCTTACAATGCAAGAAAAGAAATTCAATATGCAAACAGGCGCTAGAAAATGGAGGGAATATGCGACTGACCTCGCGCCGTAGGAAGTACAATAGCGGCGGGAATGAGTTTCCTGTACGTTGCATTTCTTACGAGTTAATATATGTAGGAAATAAAAGGTGCAGGAGCCTAAAAGAAACTGCAGGAAACTACAGGAAGGTGCATGAAACTGCATGAAACTGCAAGAAACCGGAAGAAACTGCATGAAACAGCTAGAAACTGCATCAAAATGCAAGAAATGCATGAAGCAGCTAAAAACTGCATGAAACTGCAAGAAACCGCAAGAAACTGCAGGAAAGTGCAGGAAGGGGCATGAGACTGCATGAAACTGCAAGAAACCGCAAGAAACTGCAGGAAAGTGCAGGAAGGGGCATGAGACTGCATGAAACTGCAAGAAACCGCAAGAAACTGCAGGAAAGTGCAGGAAGGGGCATGAGACTGCATGAAACTGCAAGAAACCGCAAGAAACTGCAGGAAAGTGCAGGAAGGGGCATGAGACTGCATGAAACTGCAAGAAACCGCAAGAAACTGCATGAAACAGCTAGAAACTGCATCAAAACGCAAGAAATGCATGAAGTAGCTAGAAAGTGCATGAAACTGCAAGAAACCGCATCAAAGTGCTAGAAAGTGCAATAAATTACAAGCCATGCAACAAACTGCATGAAAGTACTAAAAACTGCAAAAAATACATGCAACTGTAATAAGTTGCAAGAAAGCGCAAGAAACATGCGCCATGCGCTTTATGAAAGAATTTCTTCATCGAGGCAGAGTTTCTTGTGTCCCACATTTCTTGTACATACATAAAAATATGTAGCTGCCAGAAACCACTTTCTCCCCCCTTTTTCCTCTCAAGTGGTCACCTCCACCCGAAATTCTGCTCTCATCATCTTCTCCTCATTGTTCAACTCTCACTCACCTTGACACATTTCCCCATCGCGTATTCCGTCCCCAATCCTGCCTGTACCGCCCCCAGTCCAGCGAGCAGCCAACAGGTCAGAATTCTCCGAACGGTGAGATGACTCCCATCAGCATCGAAACGAGGCCCAAGCTGACGGCAGGCCTCCGCCACGAGGGACAACACTTCCAACGGATACATGTTCGTGAACCAGGCTGAAAAAAAAACAATCAAATATCACAAAGTCAAGTGTTGTTTTTGCCTCTTTGAGTGACATTCTCTTGGTCAACTTGACACTTTTTTACGCAATGCTACAATTCTCATTTCATTTCTGGAATGAAAGTGCACACTCTTAAAAGTGATGTTTCCCGTTTACAACGTTAATTCAGTCGGAATTCTATACTATGCAAACTATTATATCTACAGAGTAAAGTTTGATCTGTAACTTAACCTTTGCCATTGATTAATTCGATTGTATTCAGTTAATTAGAGAATATATTATTAATTCCTTATTCAATATATTTAAGAATAATAATTTTGTCAAAATTTTAGACTGAATGTAACATACCTAGTAAGTAAGTAAGTAATATTTATTAAAGGAATGAAACCCGTTTATAACATGGCTATATCCGTCTGTCCGTCCGTCTGTCTGTTAACGCAATAACATAAGAAAGATGTAACATAAGGAAATTTGGAACATAAAAACAAGGGTCAATTTCGAAGATGGGCGTGCTAGACCACACCCCTTCGTAAACAGAGGCGGTATGGTTATGACCACCTTCGATTA